GGTTGGCTAGGCTAACAGTGAAATAACTACTGAGTTCATTACAGAGTTTCTTTAATATATTTTTCCTCATACTCTCCCCTGAGACACTCTGGTACTAGTATGCGTTAATTCTACAGATTAGGAATTGTATCATGGAATCATTAAGGATGGAATAATTTTTCCATTTGAAAATCTAACTGGCAGTTTCTAGTTATCTACATAGCAGTGTTTGGTCTCGGCTTTATGCTTAGGATGAGTAAGACTATGCATATAGTACACACATGTACAAGCCTACAGACTTCCCCAAGTTCCAGAAAAAAAAAATGACAGGTGGGAGGAGGAGTGTGCTGCCATCATTTAGTCTCAGTAGCCAAGTGATTAGGACACTTTCTTAGGAAGCTAGAGACTTGGAGTGCCTATACACAGCTTAATACATGTGACAGTGAGGTGACTCTGGACTGTTCTAATTAGAACACAGAGCAGACTCAATTAATCGAGTCTGCTCTGAGACATTATAATTAGAAAGTGATGGAGCACATCTATAGGCACCCGTGGATTGGCATTAAAACCTAGATCTTTGTAACTTCCCAGCATAGCACACTTCACTATACTATAGGCAAGGCATTACCTTGAGAACTTCCCACCACTCCCTTTAAAGCTGAGCCACTTGTCCCTTGCATGCAATAGTCATTGGGTAAAATGAATGGAGGGCAGTGCACTGAAGACATTTTACCCCACTAGGGCCCAAGGCCCTCCCTTCTATGCCAGGAACTACCCCACTGCCACGGAGGGAAGTGTGCCTCCCCCACACTGCCACAGCCCAGGAACTGCTCCACCTGCTGGCAGCTTGCCCTTCCCTCCCCACTGCTGGAGAGGCAGGTAAGTTCGGGTGTGTGTACAACACAGGGGTTTTAAGAGCCCTAAATTGACATGGTGAGTTTAAAAACCCACCACTTCAAGTTAGGGCCCCTGTTTCATCTACACATGCCCAGTCTGGAAAAGAGAAGACTGAGGGAGATTCAATAACAGCCTCAACTACTTGAAGGGTGGTTACAAAGAGAATGGAGCTATACTGTTGTCAGTGGTGGCAAGTGACAGAACAAGAATCAGTGGTCTCAAGATGCAACAAGGGAAGTTCAAGTTAGAGATTAGGAAGAACTTTCTCACTAGAAGGGTAGTAAAACATTGGAACAAGTTACCCAGGCAGGTGGTAAAATCTCCATCCTTGGAGGTTTTTAATACCCAGCTAGACAAAGCCTTGGCTGGGATAATATAGTTGGGATGATCCTGTTTTGAGCGGGGGTTGGATCAGATGAACTTCCAACCCTCATTATCTATGATTCTATGATTTTTATTACTCTAAGGTTTATAGATGTCTCAAGGCCTCCACCCCCATGGCATAGAAATATACTGGTGTCACAGTGGCTACAAGTGGAAAAGTCCAAGGCTGCTGGCAGATCTAGTCATCAGCAGGTGTTAATGTTGAGTATGACCAATCTAAACCAATAGGCAGACTATATTTGGACTTTGGCTGTGGTTGTTGATATCTAGATGTCCCTTCCACATGGCAGCAATTTTCCCAGCTCTAAAATCACAGTGATTTTGAACTTGCAACTCAGGAATTTTGCCTTAGGAAACCTTAAGAAATGTCTTTTAAAGTGGAGTTTAGCTGTGAGTGAGCTTGGGAGGTAGTGCATGATCAGGAAGGAAGATGCTCCCTACAGAGGCAGAGGATAAAGTAAGGAGACTCTCTGATTGGAAAACGGAGTGTCACTGTTGACTCAAATGGCTTCCCAGGGACCATAAATCACCTATTGTCAGGGTGAAGTTACACATTATATTTAGACCATACTAAATCTGTGGATTGTGTTAAACAGTGTTTAAGTAGTAACATGCTGTAGGCAGTTGCACCTTAAGGGTTAATACTGTTTCTTGCCTGCAGAGCTCTAACTAGAACCACTAAAAAGGCTAGTGGGCAGGGGTGTGGATAGGAACCAGGACACCTGAACTCTATCCCTGCTTGGTGGGGGGGGCAGGAAGTCATGTATCTGGCATGCTGGATGATGGCAAATTGCTCATTTTTCCTCCATGGAGCAAACTGAAGTTACTCTAACACAAGCTACGTAGCATGCTTCAGACTTACCCCTCCCCTAAAGTGGCATAACTTTGAGACACAAGGGGCATTTTTACGAGTACAAGTGCCGAAGAGGTGGTGCTTTAGTTCAAAAGCACACCACTGCCATTTTCTCTGCGCCAATGCAAATTTCACCACTTACACAACTGCAAGCAGCGCAGCACAGTGTGCATCAGCTCCTATGCGGAGTAGACTCAGTTAATCGAGTCTGCTCTGAAGTGGTGGATCTGCAGCCGGTCAAATGCCCTCAGAAAGTATTTAGTACAAGTTAATGAGCTTTAACATGCAGACACTTATGTTTTAAGTGCACTTAGTATGGTCTAAGTGTAACATGTAACTTCACCCTCAGATGGCTTGGAAGTGGCTGATGTGAACTGCACTTTATTTGTGAGCAGTGTAAACAAACTAACTCAGAGTCAGTGCACTGGGTAGAGCCACTCTGCTGAACAGCAGCTGCAAATCAGTCCTTTTTTTCTCTCTCTTCTCTTCCTCCTGCTTTCATTTTTGTCTTTTCTTGTGTTATTTATATGGACAGGGATGCTTGCTCACAGAGGGGATAGATAAGAAGACATAGGGTTAAGGGATGCAGAATAAGAAATGAGACAGAAAAGGGAAACTAAAACTTCCAAATGCCTTTCCTTTTAAACCATATGTACCATCAGTGAAAGGGAAAAAAAGGGAAAAGGCTGTAAGACTTAAAAAGAGGCAAGGTAATATTTTTTTTTTATTTTGAACCCAGGCAGCCTATGGACTCACTGCCATAAGGATCTGCTGAGGCCAAGAGCACAGCCTATTACAAGAGAGTACTGAGCTTTTTTTATAGATCATAGCAAGACCAACCAGCATGATACTACTGAGGAGTTAAAAAAAAAAAACCCAAGAGCTTTAAAAAGCAGCTACAGACCTTCTACTTACAGCATCTGAGCCAACCTCTGTCTCTGAGGTTAGAGGGAACCCTCCCAGGTTATCTTGTAAGTCCTACATATAGTGTTCCTGGCATTGTCTTCTGAGGCAGCCGGTTCTGGTTACTGTTGATGGTAGGATACTAGACTAAATGATGCATAAGTAGGGTGACTATACATTCCAGATTGGCCAGGACAGTCCCAGATGTCAGAGGCTGGTGAAAATTAAAAAGAACATGCCAGGCACAGGGCTTGGGGCTCAGAGGCAGATAGGCAGGTGTTGTGAAATAGGAACCCCTATCAGACAGCAAAATTGCCCAGTAATACTCATTGTTACTTCACAGGTGACTGGTAACACCTAGCGAAGTCAAGAACAATGGATCATTATGGCCATTAATTCCCTGTGGGGTGGCAAAATCACAGAAGGGACATATGAAAAGAACCCAAAGTGCTCCCCAATTTGTCACCAGCTGCTCTTCTAAGGGACGCTGCAATACACACAATGTGTGCTTTAGGAGTCAAATTGGTGTCAATGGAAAGAAGGCAGGTAGCAAACTCTATGGCTTGTAGGAGAGAACACAAGCAGCAAAAGCAATATTGAGATTCTCTCCAGTGTTAGTCTTCATTGAGAGTAGACAGGCTATTTGTAGAAAACCTGGGACAATAACCTGTTCTTCTAACACACTCTACTCTGAGACCAAGATAGCTATACTGTATCCCTTACACAGGTGGCTGAACAAAAATTAGAAGTAGATGGCTCTAGGGCAACTGTAAAGTGGATATATAGCCCTGCACAGGGTTTTCTGAGGGTGTGCACTCAGTCCTATCAACAAAGCATTGCCTTTCATGCAAAAAGGTACCTGAATCAAAAAATCTAGGAAAGAAGGGACTAGCCCTGCTACCTGCTGTCTGCTGACATGAAGCATCCTGTGGCCAGTAAAGGACAGTAATTGCTCCTATGTACATAGCAACTGAGGTACTATGCAGGTATTACTATGAAGACAAAGAACTTCTGGATGCATTTGAAACAGGCATATTTTAATTACTGTAATCTAGGCACATGCTCTTGTTTGGCAGCATGAGATTGAAAAAGCATATTTATTCATTAACTATTCACCCCCTTGGACAGGACTCAAGTAGAAGTTTCATTCTTTCCCTCATGCACAGTGTCCATCACTCCATGAAGCTAGTATAAAAGGTCTTGCTCTTAGCTTTGCATCATTCTGAAAGGTCTGTTTTCAAGAAGCAGGAGGGGAAAACACACACAAAAAAGAAAAGCCAAAATCCTAATTCAGCACCTGTGGTCAGCCCTCGGAGCACATGAACAAAGAAATCATTCCTAATGAGCTCTTTGTTCTTATCCTGCTGAGTCCACTTGTCCAAATTATGAGCTTTTGTTATATGATAAGTATTTGCTTTATCTGCTGGTATAGATTATTATTGAGCTCATTGAAAATATTTTGTTGTTTATGGGATGTTGAATTTGTCAATCTCCCAGTTATTATTGTAAATAATTAATTATTGTAAACAGTTATTTAGTGTGTGGTCTGGTGCGGGAGGACCACAGCAGAGCACTCCCATGAGTGGTGCTCCCAGCCCATAGACAGAGTGGCCTATTGAGGCCACTCTCCAGAGTGGAGAGACAGACCAAGACCTATTGGCACCCCAGGATCCCAAAAATTTAAACATGGCTGTGGGTAGTGCCGCTGCCAGGGTTACATAGGCACAGACTCCTGGAAGATCATTCCAGGCTCAACATTAGGAAAAAACTACTTCACAACTAGGGTGTCCAGAAATAAGCCACCTCCAGAGGTGATACAATCACCTACCCTGGAAATCTTCAAGAGGAAACTGGATGGGCACCTTACTGGGGTCACACTGACCCCACAGTTATCTTTTCTGCTTGGTGCGGGGGGCTGGACCCAATGATCTTCCAAGGTCTCTTCCAGCCTTACAATCTATGGATCTATGAAAAAATGATGTCATCCTGGTGAACATGGCCATGTGAAGTCTTCTCTTCTCCTCACAGCCAGTCTCTTCTGAGTCCTCTCCTCTCTGACACGCTTCCACCCAATGTTGTCTTCCTGGGGAGTAGTCAGGAGACCGAATGAATTTTCTCAAAGGTGATGAGAGTGCAGAGGCAGGTTTATTCTGCGGCCTACCCACAACAGAGCCACCCATACTGACATGCCCTTTGTAGAGGGATGGGTCTAAGCCCTCGGAAGGTAGCAGGTAGCTGGCTGAATGCTTCTCCTCCCTGCATGGCCACAGAATGTAGCTGTGGTGATGTTACTCTGTTACTCCCATCAAGCTGCAGCTGTGGAGAAAGGAAACACATGACACTGACATAATCCTTGCTCTTCCCATTTCAACATCCTGTCATGCCTGCCTTGGAGGTATTCATTTTTAAAGGTCAACAGGCTCCTTTCCCTTTGGCACATGAGCTCTGCAGTTTCTTCCCATTTCTTCACTGCCCTGACCTCCCCCTTTCCCTCCAGCCAGACAACGTTCAAAAGATTCAGGACAACCTCGTTCACATTTTGCCACTATCATAGCTCTCTGGGTTAATACATCCAGGGAAGCCTACAATTTGTGTCATGTCCAAGACACACACTATGAAGAGAAAGTCTTATGCATCAAAATGTAACTCTTCCTAGCATATACTTTACCAGGCACTCTCTGTCTTTCGTCTCCTCATTGGGTGTCAGGACCTCACTTATGGACCTCAAGCTTCAGGACAGCTGAACCTTCAGAAGGAAGTGAAGAGATGGTTTGCCTATTGGTGCTAGCATTTGTTGAGGGGGTGTGTGGCTGTTCTCGCCTGGAGCAAAAGGTGCTCTAGATGGACCTGTTAAGAAAGAGTAAGTCTAACTGTAAATAGGCATTTTACCAGAACTGCATTGCTTACAAACGCTACCAAAGTGTTGACTTTTCTTCTTGTTAACCCAAAATCAGAGAGACGAGAATTGTTCAACTGGAAGCCCCAAGTAGATATGTCTTATTCCCAACCAAGAAATTGCCAAACAGGAGACAACAACAGGCTAATGCAGGCTGAACAGGGTATCATGTACATTAAGAATAATCCAAGTCAGTGTTACTCACTAGAGGAGTCTCTGTCAATGCCTGCTTGCTCCCCTTCTGTACCAGCATGGGTCAGAATGTAGTCTACCATGCCTCGTCTGTGGCATATGGCCACACCATTAACTTTTTGCAGGTACAGCCATCCATGCTGAAAGTCCTTTCCCTCCAGAGGTTGCTACTACCTGAGCTTGAGGTCCTTGAGGTTTCAGGTTTGGAAGCTGAGTTACTCATTCTCTTGGGATCGCCACTCACAAAAAGTGCTGATGAGCAAATTAAGCAAAGCTAAAGGGCATGCATGGTAATTGTGTAGCTCATCAGCTACTGGTACAAGGTTTCAAAGAAGATTTGAAGCTGGCCTTCCCGCTCTTCTGGCTGCATTGCTGCCACTATCCAACTTGCCTGTTGTACATTAGAGACCATGAAGAAAACGAAAGAAGGCAGATTGTGCCCAGAGCCCTACAGCATCTTTGGCTGCTGAGGATCAAGTAGTTCTAGATGTTGATACTGCCATGGACAATTAGATGGAGCAAAACAGAGGGGAACTGAAGGAACAGCAGGCTATTACTGCAAAGCGTAGGGTCAGGTCTTGAAAGTATAAAGGCATATCCGTAGTGTGGCCTAAAGGTCAGAGTTTGGTAATAATATATGCCTGTGCCAACCCATAAGGTAAAGCTTCTGAGATGGATGTGTTATTTCAGCTGAGTGTTCACTCAGCTAGAGGATATATGGAAGGATATAATTGTCATGCCATGTCTGCCCCCATATCCCTTGCCCGTGAATCACCCAGTCAATATCTTTAGATATAGTTGTCAAGTATTTCTGTAAAATGAATCTCTGAACCTTTTCAAGTTTTCCCATTATGAGTAGCATGGGCATGAGCATTTAAATGTCATATGGCTATTCAGACTAATAGGCTGTGGCTCAGAATTATAACATGCCACTAGTGTAATTATAAGGCAACCAAAGAAAGCCTAGCAACTGTAAACATCTTAGTGAAAGGCACTTATTTCATTTGGCCCACCTTGCAAAGCTGCCACCTGCCTACCATGAGGGAATTGCAAGGTACACAACCAACAGGCCTGCTTTTGTGCTCCATTCACAGTGGTTGAACGTGGCCTTTACTGGGGCAGCTTCTGCTTTACACTGGTGTAACTCAAACAAGAAATGTTGCTAATGATATCTAAGAAGCCAGTAGTCAGAGTTACGTGTAGAAACTTATTACTCAAACAGCAAATGCATTCATTTGCTGTTTGAGTGCATGGGTTCTGTGCTGGACAGAACTGGTTCTAGACATTGCAGCTGAAAACCTACTCTGTGATCTGAATAAGGTGCTCTTCACATTAGCTCCATCCAGTGTTCTGAAGTAATACAAGGGATGGGTTTATACCATGGGTACATTTAGCTTATTGTTTCTCCATCATCGGGTCACAACTATTCTTCATTGATAGATACCTCTGTAAGGTAAAAATCTTCCCATGGACCTTCCCACCTCTCATTTCCCCACATCTCCCAGATGCCTAGTCCAGGGATAACTCCTTTCCACCAATTCTCATAACTAATATTTAAATGTCAGGAAATCCTGCCTATGTGTTTGGGTTGCAAACAAGTAGGTGATGACACTGAACTCCACCTCTAATGTCCCTGCGGCTCCACTGCCAGAGTGACTTCAAAGATGAAACAAATTACCACTCCTCAGCACCTCACAGCCATTAGTACAGCTGTGTTTTGGCATTATTGGCACTATTCATGTCATTGTACAGGTGGGAATGTGACAGGATGCACCCTAGCAGTGGCCATGAAGCCCCCTACTGGCTGCCTTAATCCTCTGGCTCACCTGCTCCAGCTTCTTGGGGTATCACCCTGCTTCCTCTCCTGCCACACCTTGATGTTAAAGATAATGAGGGGAAGCTGCCCTCAAAGGCTGGTGAGTTCTGAATGCCCTCTCTGTACTCAGTTCTTCTCTTGGGCTTGACTTGGCCTGCCTAATTTGGGTTCTGACTCACCTCCCACAGTCTCTTGGCCTTGGGACTTCTGACCCCTGGCCCCACTTGCATTAAGGACTACATTTGTGGTCTCCATCCTCCCCTATGGCCATGCCTATGTCTCATGGATGTTATTTTTCTGGTCTTTGTCTCTGTAGGGGCCTCAGCCCTCTTGGCTTTAGCCCACCATTGTTCTGGCTGCAGATCTCCAGCCCTGGCCCACTCATTCTGGCCTGGCTTTCTCTGCCTCAGGCTCCTCTGTGTGTCAGACCCCTGGTGCCCTTGCCCTGTCTCAGTCCCCTGGTGCCCCTGACCCAGGCAAGGCTGCTCATAATCTGACCCAGACCCCTTGGCACCCTGGCCCAGGCTTCTGCCCTACACAGCCCACAGAATCCTAGGCCCTGAAAGGGCTCTGTACCAGGTGCCCTTTAGGCACCTCTATGGTCTTCTATCCATCCCTTTTAGCCATACCTGGTCCTCCAGTACTCTGCCAGCTACCAAGAAATGCCTCCCTGGGTCCAGGCCACCTCTTAGCCTTTGGCCACTTGCTTTTTGCAGCTCCTCAGGTATCGAGTTGGTTGGGTTCCCCTCTGTTATATCTCAGGCCAATAGCAGGGGGAAACAGGGCCAGATTGAGACCTCTGGCTCAGGAGCCAGGCTTTTATAATGGGCTAGGACTCTGCCTTCAGTCTGCTTCCAGGTGTTGTACCTTAAGCCCTGAGCCACAGTCACTGCCCTTTCCCCTGCTGCTCTTTAACCTTTGTGGGTTTCCCTAGCCACATGTTGTTTTTCAGCTGGCTTTTGCCCAGCTGTCTATCTAACTGCAGCCCTTTGCTGCTGGCTCCATACCTCTTAAATAGCAGGGATTAGGTGTCCCTGCTACAGGGAAATTGAGGCACAGTAAGGCTAAATGATTTGCCAAACATCATACAAGGAGTTAATGGCAAAGCAGATATCTGAACACAGGTAACCCCAGTTCCAGGTTAGTGGCTAACTACCAGACCACTGTTCCAAGCACAGTGAACTTGGGCATAGTGTATGAGCCATGGCCAAGAGAAGCAGCAACTGGGACTGGGAATGTTCAAAATTGCCTGACGTCAGCAGCTTCTGGGCTTGTCTACATAGCCATGTAATAACCTTAATATCTAACATTGTCTGATAAATTTTAAACTCTATTCTTAAAAACTCCCTTTTCACTATGGCACATGGATTCTCCTGTCTCAACCCACCATCCCCACCAAGTAAGGAAACTGAAACAAACACACAAAAAAAATCACCTCTAGACAAAGTAAGAAAGAAAGCCAAAACCAGGGGCTCACCTGAAAGACCCTGGAAGCATCTGGTTTCTGTGGCAATTTAGGAGACTTGATTGAAAAGACTGTACTCTAATTCTCTCATTATTATAACAGTGATGTTGGCCTATATTTGGTATGAGGAAAAATAGGGCAGATAAATTGGCTCTAAATTAATCAAGGTTTTCTGTACTGAGACCTCAAATAAAACTCACTGGATGAAAGGCAGTTGTGGCCTGATGCCTACACTTCAAATCTGTTGTGCAGTGCCACTGCTGTTTTCTGCATTCATTGCAATTGGTAAAAGGAAGACCCAAATAGAATGTTTTGTAATTATCTGCACTTCTGCAGAGTGTGGTAAAGCCTTTCAGAACCACAAATATATTAGCTTAGTAGTAATTTACCCTTTCTAAAACAAGCACAAAGCATTACCTCAGTGTTTCTTCTCCCTGCCTGTGTTCAAACTTGATGGAATTCTCTCCATTGGGATTTAATTCACCTTCAAGCTCTGGTGAACTGCAGGAACATCTAAAAAGCCACAAGTCTGTCTGAGAGGAGGGTGTTGCTGGCAGTGGGCATGTCTACACGTGCAAATCCTGCTTGGTAATAATTTGGAGTAATTTACTCTAGACTAAACCCACCACAGGCAGGTGTACATGTGCAGAGATGTGGGAGCAGATTTGCTGCTCCTGGCAGCCATCTGCTCCCACTCCCTCCAGCCCTGCACTGGCCCCCTGCAGCAGCCAGGGGGGGGCTCTAGGCTCCCACTGGGTGTTAACCCAGGGCTGCCAGGGAGCATGGGGCCAGGAGACAGCAGTCTCCTGGCAGTGGCCGGGAGCTTGCTCCCTGCCCCCCCCCCCCCCCCCCCCCCC